CCTACCATCCCGGAGGTACCTAAGGTGCTTATCTAGGTACCTAGGTACCTTAAGAGAGAGAGAGTGTGTGTGTGAGGTGTGTCGGTTGGCGCCTGTTGGCTGGGACTGACCCACATCGTTCATCGTTCATCGTTCATCGGTATCGGTATCGGGGGAAACCTGCGAGCCCCTAAAGCCCAAGTCATCGGAACATGGGAGGATCCTGGGTACATCTGTTGGCAATGACTGCAGAGATGATTCGATGCGTATCTACGCCATGTGCAAGACTTCGTCGTACAAGGTCATTGGAGGACAGGAGGGAGAGGAGACGCATCGGGCCCGAATGGATGTGGACGGGACATGAGAAGCGCCACCGCGCTCCTGAGGTGCATCAGACCATCGTGCCATGCTACTGGGCACCTGCATGGGGCTCCTCGAGTCGCCAGCTGTGTATCTCCCCCAATGTCCAGTGTGCAATAGGCATTCGGTACCTTACCCAGGTACCTACCTGGATGCCTATCTCAGGCACCTATATAGGTAGGTACAGGGGAGTGGGGGGGTGCTCTGAAGATTCGCTTTGGGTGACCTGAGCGTGCACTGGACTTCTACAACCAGCATTACTACAGTACTATCTTTACCTACCTAGGTACCTAGGTAGGTGTTCACAGCACTTATTACCCACCGTATACAGAGAGTCTTGGGTACCTCCCCACCTCCCCGCACCCCTGTCACATCCCCCCCCCTCTTCGCTGTCCTGCCATTCACTATCTTCAGCACTGCTTGACATATATTGCCCAATTCCATGACCGAAGGCCTAATTAGGAAAATTCACTCGACGCAACTCACTGGCCCAGACTGTGGACCCCTTCCCATGTAATTCCAAACGTTCTGTGGTTGGGCCGGATGCGAGGCACGCGCTAAGCCCTGGTTGCCTCGTCTTCATCGCCTCCGCCCTTCACTGACTATGGGCAATCGACATTCAAAACATGGGCACCAACACTGACACTGACACACAACAATGCCACTGACGGGCCGCCTCCGCCTCCTCCACTAATGATAATCATCGCCCTCCCGGTCATTGGTGAGTGAGACCGGTCTGTCAGTTCGGAGTGAGTAAAGACATCGAATTCTTGACACCCTCATTCGAATCCCTCTTCGCCTGAGTGTGTCACGTAGATGGCTGTTTGGGAGGCTCGCTGGCTCTCCATCTCCATCCCCAGCCACTCCAGCAAGACAAACCTGTGCCGTGAGGTGGGTGTTGGTGATGTCCATCCTCACCTGTGCGCCTACATACACCACCAAATCAGAAGAGGCGCGCCTGGCGCCTCGTGCCACGCCTACGCCCCCGTCTTTGAGCTCAAGATCCTTCGAGGTCAGGCCCAGCTTCATCCGAGACACGAGGCGTCTCCTCGGCGTCTATTTTCTTCCTTGGCCAAAAGTTTTCGTCGAAGGAGGAAGCGGCCTCCGATCTGATGGGACGCCGATGCGCAGCCCCCAAATGACGCCAAACTCAGCCTCCAGCCTCCAGCCTCCCTCCCTCTTCTCTCCCGTCATGGGAA